TCAACCTCATCTCCTCCCTCCCCCTCCCCTCCCTCCCCCCCTCCCCTAACCCCTCCCCTCTCCTTTCCCTAACCCCTCCCCTCCTCCCTTCCCCTTCCCCTATCCCCTCCCCAACCCTCCCTCCCCTCCCCTTATCCCCCCCCCCTGTTTCCTATTATCCGCGCTATCAAGGGTTGTAATAACATCAAAGGTCAAAGAATTATGAAAAGGTGAAGAGATTTTGAAAAAGGGGCAATAAAAATGAACAATCAAAAAGGAAAAAAAAAAATAAAACGAAAAAAAAAAAATATAAATAAAGTCGCGATTTTTTTTTTCCCTTTCTTCGTTAAATGAGTAATTAAGTGATAATCATAAATCAAAGATGGCTCGTCCGGCGTATTACCTCTCCCCCCCCCGCCCCCCCCCCTCCCCCTCCCCTTTTGGTCTTCCTCTTCCCCCTCTCCATCTCCCCCTTTCCCCTGTTTCTCTACCCTTGATTCTCCCAATTTCTCTCTTCCCCTCCTCCTCCCCCTCCCTGCCATCTCCCCTTCCTCTTTCCTCTATTCCCTGTTCTCCCAATTTCTCTCTTCCCCTCCTCCCCCCTCCCTGCCATCTCCCCTTCCTTCTTTCTCTATTCCCTGATTCTCCCAATTTCTCTCTTCCCCTCCTTCTCCCCCTCCCTGCCATCTCCCCCTTCCTCTTTCCTTATTCCCTGCTTCTCCCAATTTCTCTTTCTCCTCCTCCTCCCTCCTGTCTTTCCTCCACTATCTTGCCTCTCCCCTTTCTTCAATTTCCCTTCCTACCCCTGTTTCTCCCCTTTCCTTCTCTCCTTTCTTTTCCATCCCTCTTCCTTCCTAATTCTTCTCACCCTGTTTCGTACATCTCTCTTCTTCTTAATGGACTCCTCCCTTTTCTCTCTCCTTAACCTCCCTAATTCTGTTCTCCACCAATACATTTTCCTCTCCCTCCTCTCTTCTCTATTCTCTCCTCAACCTCCTCTTCCCTTCTTTCCTTCTCCCTCCTCCCTCCTCCCACCTGTCTCTTCCTCTTTCTTCTCTATTCTCTCCTCAATCCTCCCTCCTCCTTCTTCCCTTTTCTCCTCCCTCTTCCCTCTCTCCTCCCACCCCCTCCTCCCTCCTCCCACCTCCGTCTTCCTTCTTCCTTCTCCCTTCTCCCTCCTTCTTCTTCCCTCCTCCCTTCTTCTTCTTTACTCCTCCCTCCTCCCACCTCCCTCTTCCTTCCTCCCTCCTTCTTCCTCCCTCCTACCTCTTCCCTTTCATCCTCCCTCCTCCCTTCTTCACATGCCATCCGGAGGGGGAAAGACATCTCCACATTTATGCTATAAGGGCGGAAATCTCGCGAGTGTTAGTGATGTTGCCGCCCTTATCTTTTAAATGGGGGTTTGAGCATTATTATCGTTTTCATATCTTCTTATGTGAATCGTGTCAAAAAATTTACTCTTTTTTTTCTCTCTCTCTCATACTGTTTCCTTGCACATACTCTCTCTCTCTCTCTCTCTCTCTCTCTCTCTCTTCTCTCTCTCTCTCTCTCTCTCTCTCTCCCTCTCTCTCCTCTCTCTCTCCTCTCTCTCTCCCTCTCTCTCCCTCTCTCTCTCTCTCTCTCTCTCTCTCTCTCTCTCTCTCTCTCTCTCTCCTCTCTCTCTCTCTCTCTCTCTCTCGCTCTCTCTTCTCTCTCTCTCTCCCTCTCTCTCCCTCTCTCTCTTCCTCGCTCTCTACTTGTCTACCTATCTGTCTGTCTATTTATCTATCTATCTATCTCATCTCAAAGCCTCTTTCGTCAGTAATCTTCCCCCTTTCTCACCAGTTCTCTCTCTCTCTCTCTTCAATATTCTTTATTTCACCTCTTCCTTCTTTCACTCCCTTCATTCGGTAATCTCATTCTCTCTCTCTTTCGCCTCTTCCTTATACTGCGCCCTCTCCTCCTCCTCCCTTTCTCTTCCTTTGATAACTTTCTCTCTCATTTTTTTTTGTTTTTGTTTTTGTTTTGTTTTTTCATACCCACTCTCCAGCGCTCCTCTGTTCCTCTTTCGTTAATCTAATTTCGTCTTTCTCTTTCCTTCACACCCTCTACCTCCTTTTCTTCCTTCTCTTTCTATTTCTCTCTTTATTCGTTTCTCCATTCCTCTTTTTTCTTTCTTCTTTCACTCTCGTCCTGAGTTAATCTCCTCTCTCTGTTTTCTCACTTTCTTTCTTTCTCTATACTTCCTTCCTTTACTTACTTCGATAATCCTTTTCTTTCTCTATTTTTCTCTCTCCTCCTTTCTCCCATTTTTCCTTCGATAATCTCTTTCTTCCTTTCCCTCCTCCCTGTTTCCTTCAATAATCTTCTCACTTTATTTTCTCTTTTTCTTCCTTTCTTCATACCTCTTTCCTTTACTTCTTCGATAATCTTCTCTCTCTATTTCTCTACACCCCCTCCCCCTCCCCCTCCTCCTTCCTCCTTCTTTCTTCTTTCACTAATCTTTTCTCTCTCTATTTCTCACTTTCTTCCTATCTCCATACTTCCTCCCTTTTCTTCCTTCTCCAATCTTCTCTCTCTATTTCTCTCGTGCTTCGCCTCTCCCTCCTCCAATCTCCCTTCGCTAAATCTTCTCTTTCACCCCCTTTCTCCACCCATAAGTTGATAATCTCCTTCTCTCTTTCTCCTTCCCCTCTCCCCCCCCCCCAAGTTGATAATCTTACAATGAAAAGCTCTTATGCAACATGACTTGCAAATGCGGGTATTTTAATGAGACTAAAACAGCATGAAACAGTTACCCCTGAGTGCCTGTCCACGGTTCCGTTTTCGTCGACATAAAAAACGGAAAAGAAAATGGGAGTTAATTATAGAAAATGGTGTCATCTGGTCAGTGAGACAAGGAAGTTTTTTTAGGGGTGTCTTAAGGATTTTGGGGGAGTTTTTAAGGGAGTTGTGTGGTATTTGGGTAACTTGGTGGTCATTTGTTACTATGATAACTGGGATTTCCTTTTTCTCTCTCTTTCTCTTTCCCTCTCTCGTTCTTTCTCTGTCTTTCACTCCCTCTCGCTCTCTCTCTCTCTCTCCTCTCTTTCTCTCTCTCTCTTCTCTGACTTCCGTCTTCATTTTCTGTAATTATATCTGCCTTTACACAACACACACACACATACATTACGCACACGCACACGACACGCACACACCCACCTGTTCCTCCTTTTAAAGCTGATCAACATTTCAGACGCGCAGTGAAAACACGTTCCAGACATGACTCGCCCATCCGGCCACCACCCCCCCCCCCTACCCCCCCCCCCCTTTACCCCTCTGTTTAGCCAGCAGACAGATCACAGGGATAAACAAAGGTGTCAAGTTCTATATTTTTTTTTCTCTCTCCTTTACGTTTTTCTTCTCTTTCCTTTTTTCTCATTTTTTTTTTATCGTTTACAATTTTTTTTTCTCTCTCTTATTTTTCTTTTTTTTTTTTTCTCTCTCTGTGAGGACGAACGAAACGGGTGAAAATGGAGTGGAGTTGAGGTTAATGTTTGTGTTTCTTCTTTAATTCTATCCGCCTTCCTCTTCCTTCCTTTTTCCCCCTCCTTTCTTTTGATTTTTTTTTTATTATTATATCTCTTCCTTCTTAAAAAAAAAATCAATAAAAAAATCGGCGATTTTTTTTCTTCTTCTTTTTTGCTTTTTTTTTCGTTCTTTCGGTTCGAGTAATTTTGTTGTTATTATTATTAATTTATTATTTATTATATCTCTTTATTATTATTATTATTATTTATTATTATTATTATATCTCCTTTTTATTATTATTATTATCTATTATTATTATATCTCTTCCTTCTTTAAAAAATAAATAAAATAAAATCGGGCGATTTTTTTTCTTCTTCTTTTTGCTTTTTTTACGTTCTTCGGTTCGAGTAATTTTCAAAGTTATTATTGTCTGGACACTTTTCACTTTTCCGTTAAAGTGGAAAAAAAGGAAAAAAAAAAAGAAAACGAAAACGAAAAAAAGAAAAAGAAAAAGAAAACGAAAAAAGAAAGAAATAAGAAAAAGAAAAAAGAAAAAAAGAAAACAGGAAGAACAAATTAAATTTTCCCGCCGGATTCGCTTACCTTTAAGTGTTTTTTTTTTTCTTTTTTCTTCTTTTTTCCTTTCCTTTTCATCTTCCTTGCGCAAGACCGATGAAATATAATTCAATAAACGTGATATCCCTCTCTCTCTCTCTCTCTCTCTCTCTCTCTCTCTCTCCTCTCCTCTCCTCTTTCTTCTCTCTCTCTCTCCTTCTCTCTCTCTCTCTCATCTCTCTCTCTCTTTCTTTTTTTTTTTTTTTTTTTTTTTTTTTTTTTTTTTTACAAATGAATCCCCTGCAATTCCGACGATGAGATAGAAAACGGGAGATGAAATGATATCCGAGAAAGTGTTTATTTTTTTATCATGTTTTTTATTTATTTTTTCTTTTTTCTCTTTCTCTTTCTGCTCTCTCTCTCTCTCATATTCGTTTTCTCTCTTTTCTCTTTACTCTCTCTTCTGGCTCTCTCTCTCTCTCTCTGCGTTTCTCTCTTCTCATCTGCTTCTTCTCTCTCTCTCTCTCTCTCTCTTCTTTCTGCTGGCTTTCTCTATCTTCTCTATCTTTCTCATAACTCTTTCTCCCATCAGGATTTCGAATTTNTCTCTCTGTCTCTTTCTCTCTCTGTCTCTTTCTCTTTCTCTCTTTCTCTCTTTCTCTCTTTCTCTCTTTCTCTCTTTCTCTCTTTCTCTCTCTGTCTCTTTCTCTTTCTCTCTCTGTCTCTTTCTCTTTCTGTCTGTCTTTCTGTCTGTCTGTCTGTCTGTCTGTCTGTCTGTCTGTCACTCATTTTCCATTCTGTCTTTTTCTCATTTTCACTTCTCGATGTCAGTAGTTCCCACCCTGTAGTTAGCATAGGCTGTCATTGTTTTCTGAGGTTTATAGAAAACAGTTTAATAATAGTAAATCAAGAAAATAAGACCTAACTTCACTATTACATTGATGCTAACCATAAGCTATATATTTTACTTGTACTAGCTAAATAAGTTTCAAAATGTAGCATGCTTGAAGATGTAAAGAGCAGTGCGATATTCACTTGGGCAGCCTTTGGGAATAGGATGGGAACTACTGCTCTAACCTAGGTTATTGAACTATGTTGTAATGATCTGTAGCACTGTAGGTTTCTGGTATAATACAAATGCTTTTGATGACTGAAGTGGCATGTATAAAGTTATATGGGTCATAGGATTATCTAAGTACTAGGATTGTAATGAATGTTATCCTAAGAAAATAACAAGAGATTTTTCCTTATATCTCACAGCATGCGTGTGGGACTTGGAACTCTTGTATGGGCACTTATTGTCCTTGGAGGTGCTTCACTGGTTGGCCGAGTAGTCCATGTGCTAAGTGTGGATGTGGAGGAAGAAGTTGGTGACCATGAGAGCCATACAAATAGACACAGCCAGAGTGGCCAGCCTCAGCTGAAAGCAGAGAGTGACCACCTCATGTGGTTTATACAGGTTGGTTAATGATGTCAAAAAGTATGATAGTAGAGATGGAAAGTACAACTTTTTTAATATGCCAGAAATGTAAAGTATGAATAACAGTATCCAGTTCAGCTTGTGCTGTTTTTGTTGCTATTACAATTTGATTTATTTTCAGAAAGTGCTTTGAACAGGGATGCTAAGGTTTTTCATGAAATATGTTATTTGTTTTAAAAAGTTAGATTAATTTCAAGATATTCATCATTTATACTATACTGAGTAGAAGATATAATTAACACATAAGGGGGCTGTGCAGTGTCTCACACACTTTTTAACCCTAGGTTTCAGACCTGCATTTAAGTGTATTTCAAGACCCAACACGCTCAGTGCATTTACGAGAGTTTGCTTCCTTCACCATTAAGACTGTGAAACCTGCAGTAGTCCTTGCTTCAGGTAAGTTTAGAATGTCAGTTGAGAATTTTTTGCTGCTGAGAGTTGTAAATTTTTTTAACCTTTTGGATCTGGATGCATTGGGGCCTATGCATGGACCCAAATCCATTCATTAGGCTTCCTTGAGTGGTGACTTTCCAAGGCGTGTAGCTTGTAGGGCCAGTTCACATAAACATTCATGTGTGATATCAAAATTCCTTGCCTCCTTTTTGCAGTGCTATGAGCCCTTTTTCTAAATATACACTTTTGCTGTTTTGTCATTTTCTGATTTCTATATTTGTAATTTAACATGTTTGATGATACTAGATAGTTGTCATGGAGCTGACTTTATATTATCTCAAATGCACTTTGTGCTATAACAGTAACAACATGTAACATTTTGTTACTTGTACTATATTTTCATGATATTCAGCTCTCTGTAACTTGCTCTACACCATAGGTAACAGCAGGCAGGAACAGATTCCTGTTTGCAGACATAGTATCCTCCCTGGAAATGTGGTATATTATTATAATGTATTCATCAGATACCTGTGATTATTACAATATTTTTTTTATTACTTGAAGAAATCTGAATTTATTAAAGAATGTGAAATAAAAAATTGTTTAGCAGTAAAGTGACCATCCAACTGAACATTAGCATCATTACATCATTAAAGGTTAATTCATTCATGAATATATTTATGGGTGATAAACATTCATACAGATGTTTCACACATCCCCCATCAGACTACTCCATTCTGATAAAGAAATAGTAGAGTAGTGAGTTTGAGTATTTATTGATATTTCATTTATTGTAATCTCTTAAAGGTTCATGTGTTTGATTTGTTGCCTTTTTTAGACTAGCTGATTATTGTTTATCAAGAGTACATACAGACTTTGGAAGACAGGAGCTAGAGAACTAATGGCATCAGAGGCAGAGCCACATTATGCTTGTGTTGCATGTAGAACACAGAAGAGCCACCATTGTCATGGGATATATAGATACCACTCAGAATTCTGGCCCACCCTTGTTAAAGTATGTATTGATGCAATCCTTCATCTTTGGGATAAGAATTCCAAAATATGAATTCTTTATCTATTGACGTGTCTTTCAGTTTATAAAATTCTCTCTGTTTGTCTATGTATGGCTCAATTTATATTCTATCTTTTTTTTTATTGCATTTGAAAAGAGGATTTTTTCTATATCTGTTAATCAGTTTATCCATTCACATGTTAATATGTATTGATGTGTATTTGTTTTATTTGCAGTTATATTTTATTGGGTAGTCTTAATCTGTAGTCTGTAGATAGGGATTTATATTTTATCCATTTTATTATTCATCAAATTTGACCTTGCAGGTGACTTAACAGATGCCAAAACTGTTGACAGGCTGGGATCAAAACAGTATATAGAAGAGTGGGCAACATACCGTGATATTATTCAAACCTCAGGAATTCTCAATGACACTGTCTGGCTAGACATCAGAGGAAATCATGGTTAGTTTATTGATTTGGTAGCCTGTCTTATGAAAATAGTACAGTACCTATACTGTTTCCTACTGCTACTATAATTAGTTTTACCAAATGCATATTCTAATAGTTAGTTTGCTAATTTTTTTTATATT